GTGGGTATATAATAAGCCTATACTAAGGCTCTCCATCTCCATTTCCTCTGGCTCTGGCTAGGTTCCTAGGCTCTGGCTGTTACACTTCAACCTATTTGGATAATAAATTGTATAACTAAATGTGTTGAAGATATTGTAGGTAGAGACAAGAGAACATTAAGGTAGAGAAACATTCTAGGCAGAGAAAGTGGATTAAATAAAAGGAGAGAGTTTCAAGATAAGGAATACTCACCACATTAAATAATAAAAATACACAGGTATTTTTTTTTAGTTGACAATCACAGGTATTTTTTTTAGTTGACAATTAGATGATCTTGGTAAAAGCAGTTTCTGCAATATTATGGAAATATATCTGTAGAGTGATAAGAAACACAATAGAACATAGCATGCAACCCATGAATCAATGAGTAATTTTGACTTTCAAGTCTTATTATTTAAGAAATACATTTCTAAATTTTAATTCCAGTATAATTGACATACAGTGTTATATTAGTTTCAGGTACACAATAGAGTGATTCAACAATTCTACATATAACTCAGTTCTCATCCTGATAACTGTACTCAATCCTCTTCACATACTTCATGCATCCCCCACCCACCTCCCCTTTGGTAACCACCAATTTGTTCTCTATAGTTAAGAGTTTTTTGAGGTGCCAGGGTGCCTCAGTTAGTTTAGTGCCCAACTCTTGATTTTGGCTCAGGTCATTATCTCATGGTTCATAAGTTCAAGCCCCATGCTGGGGGAGCCTGCTTGGAACTCTCTCTCTCTCTCTCTCCCTGTCTCTCTGCCCTTCCCCTACTCTCATTCTGTCTCTCTCTTTCTCCCTCTCTCTCTCTGTCTCTGTCTCTATCTCTCTCTCTCTCAAAATAAGTAAATACTTAAAAAAAAAAAGAGAGTTTTTTGGCTTGTCTCTTTTTTTCTTTGTTTTGTTTCTTAAATTCCACATATGAGTGAAATCATATGGTATTTGTCTTTTTCTGACTGACTTATTTCACTTAAGATTATACCCTCTACATCCCATGTTGTCATAAATGGCAAGATTTCATTCGTTTTTATGGCTGAGTAATATTCCAGTGTGTGTGTGTATACTTCTTTTTTGTCCATTCATCTACCTTCTTTGTCCACTCATCTATCAGTGGACATTTGGGTTGTTTCCATAATTTGGCTATTGTGTATAATGCTGCAATAAACATAGGGGCACATATATTCTCTCAAATTAGGGTTTTCATATTCTTTGGGTAATACCCTAGTGTGATTACTGGATCATAGAATACTTCTATTTTTAATTTTTTGAGGAACCTCCATATTGTCTTCAATAATGGGGCCATACCAGTTTGCATTCCCACCAATAGTACAAGAGGGTTCCTTTTTTGTCCACATTCTCACCAACACATGTTGTTACTTGTATTTTTTATTTTAGCCATTCTGGAAGGTGTGAGGTGATATCTTATTGTGATTCCCTGATGATTAGTGGTGTTGAGCATCTTTCCATGTGTCTGTTGACCATCTGTAAGTCTTCACTGAAGAAATGTCTGTTCACGTCCTCTGCCCACTTTTAATTAGATTATTTGATTCGTGTTGAGTTTTGTAAGTTCTTTATACATTTTAGATGCTAACCACTTGTCAGATAAGTCATTTGTAAATATCTTCTCCCATTCAGTAGGTTGGCTTTTAGTTTTGTTTGTTGTTTGCTGTGCAGAAGTTTTTTTTATTCTTATTTTGATGTAGTCCTAATAGGTTTTTTGTCTTTTTTGCTTTTTTTTTTTTTTTTTTTTTTTTTTTTTTTTTTTTTTTTTTTTTTTTTTTTTTTTTTGCTTTTGCTTCTCTTTCCTCAAGAGACATAGCTAGAAAGATGTTCTTATGGCTGATATTTGGAGAGTTCCTGCCTGTTCTCTCTTCTATGATTTTTATGGTTTCAGGTCTCACATTTAGGTCTGCAATCCATTTTGAGTTGATATTTGTATATGATGTAAGAGAGTGGTCCAGTTTCATTCTTTTGCATATAACTGTGCAGCTGTCCACAAACCATTTATTGAAGATACTTTTCTTCCATTGCATATTCTTGCCTCCTTTGTTGACGATTAATTGGCCATATAATTGTGGGTTTATTTTTGGACTTTCTGTTCTGCTCCATTGATCCATATGTCTGTTTTTCCTCCAGTACCATACTGTTTTGATTACTACAGCTTTGTAATACAACTTGAAATCTGGAATTGTGATACCTCCAGCTTTGTTTTTCTTTTTCAAGATGTCTTTGACTATTCAGGGTCTTTTGTGATTCCATACAAATTTTAGGGTTGTTCTAGTTCTGTGAAAAATGCTGTTGGTAGTTTTTTTTTAAGTTTATTTATTTATTTTGAGAGAGAGAGAGAAAGCGCCTGCATGAAAGTGGGGGAAGGGCAGAAAGAGAGACAGAGGATCTGAAGCAGGCTCTGTGCTGACAGCAGAGAGCCCAGTGTGGGGCTCAAACCTACAAACCATGAGATCATGACCTTAGCTAAAGTCAGATGCCTAACTGACTGAGCCACCCAGGAGCCCCTGTTAGTATTTTTATAGAGATTGCATTAAAGCTGTAGATTGCTTTGGGTAGTATGGACATTTTAACAATATTTTTTTTCAATCCATGAGCATGGGATGTTTTCCCATTTGAGTGTTGGCACTGCACTTGTTCCCACACATGTCTGTGTATCTAGACTGGGGGCTAGGGGAGGGAAATGGTGCCCACCAGCTATTTGGTTCTTGGAATTATCTCCCAAAGATTGCTTCCTCTCCAGCACATACTCTGAGATTTGCAAATACATCTCCTTCCTGTGTATCCCAGGCGTTTTTTAAACCGCTGTTTCTGTGCTGATCTCAGTGGGGCTGTTTGTTTTGCTCTTTTAGGGTAGAGACTCAGTTTCTTATCCCTCTGGCTCTCCCAGAGCCAACCCTTTTGATTTTTAAAGTTCCAGTTGTTAAGCCCCACTGATTATAAGAACTCACAAAGTTAGGCCCCTCTAGTTTTCATAGCTAAATGTTATGGGGATTTGTCTTCTCTGTGCAGATTCCCCATGCCTGAAGTGCCTGGTTTGGGGTCTGGTCCTCCCCCCTTTCCACACTAATGGCATCTCTCCCCATTCTGGACGGTACCACAGGTCAGTTTGGCTCCCAACTGCATCTCCACCCTCCTTACCTTCTTTGATGTAGACTCTTCCCTACATTTAGCTGTGAACAGTCTGTTCTTCCAGTCTTCATGTCATTTTTTGGGTTATTTAACCTGATGTGAGTGTTATGTAGGTGTACAAATGGGACAAGGTGATCCTAAGATACTCCTACTCTGCCATCTTCCCCAGAAGTGTGGAAATACATTTTGTAAGGCTATAGTTGTCATACTGACTCCTCTGATGGATCTGGCAAAGTAAATTGAAAACCTTCTGGAAAAAAATTCACCATTCTAGATGCCATTAAGAACATTATTCATGGGGAGAGGTCATAATATTAACATTAACAAGAGTTTGGAAGAAGTCGATTCCAACCCTCATGGATGATTTTGAGGGGTTCACTATTTCAGTGGAGGAAGTAACTGCAGATATGGTGGAAATAGCAAGGGAAATAGAATTAGAAGTGGAGCCTGAATATGTGACTGAATTGCTGCAATCTCATGATAAAACTTAAATAGGAGAGGGGTTGCTTCCTATGGATGAGCAAAGAAAGTGGTTTCTTGAGAGAGAATCTATTCCTGGTGAAGATGCTGTAAAGATTGTTGGAATGACAACAAAGGATTTAGAATATTATATCAACTTAGTTAATAAAGCAGCTGTAGGGTTTAAGAGTATTGATTAATTTTGAAATAAGTTCTTCTGTGGGTAAACTGCAATCAAGCAGCATCACATGCTACAGAAAAATCATCCATAGAAGGAAGTGTCAGTTGATGAGGCAAACTTCATTGTTATCTTGTTTTAAAAAATTGTCTCAGCCATTCCAACCTTCAGCAACCAGCACCCTGATCAGTCAGCAGTCTTTAACATTGAGACAAGACCAGCAAAATATTATAATGCACTGACAGCTCAAATAATGTTAGCATTTTTAACAGTAAGGCATTTTTTAGTTCAAGTATGTACATTGCTTTCTCAAACATAGTATTATCGCACACTTAATAGATTACAGTATAATGTAAACATAACTTTTATGTGTACTGAAAACCAAAAAATTCATTTGACTTGCTTTACTGTGGTACTCACTTTATTGTGGTGGTCTGGAACCAAACCCACAATATCTCCAAGGTATGCCTGTGTTTGAACTATGTTCTGAATGACTTTTGAATAATAGGAATGTGTCTAACCTTTAGCTAAGTTGTGTTTTTAAATGTTTATCTGTGTCATCAGTTGGTAATGGCATCAAATAGCAGTTAATTTACATTGATCTGAGTTATGTTGGTTCGTACTTCTGGTACAAAAATGGGTTTGGTACTTTTAGAGTCACATTAACATAGTCTAACAATACTAAAGTAGTAAACATATCCCAAGGGAAAATGAGTTTCCTCCTAGATTCATATCTACCAATTTATCATAGTAGCCTGAAATATTTAATGTGGCTTACTGTGCCCCTTACTTCCTACCAGATGGCAGAGTGAATTGGATTGTATTTTTCTAAACACAAGGTGTATGTGTTGGCTCAGACTGAAATAATTTGAGTATATGTTTCTTATTAAAATTTTGTTCTTGTTTCATATACATTTAAAAGTGCAAATCAAAAAAATTCAGGTTAGGGTTTTTATTTGAAATGACTAAATTAAATTTTGTTATTTATGAAGTTGATGTTGAGGTTGGATCTATCTTGTTCAGCATCAATATAGTAGATTTTTTAACTTTATAGTGTATGAGATTTATTACCTTCAGTTCAAGAAAATATTGGAATCGTTTACATTATTTATATGGAGGTAATTTACCTGTGCTATTGACTACTTCCTGATCTATAATCACATATAAACATTAATATCTTTCTGCTCATTCTCATTCAGCCAAGTTTACACACCAAAACAAGTGGTAAAGTCACTGCCTCTCTTACTGATTACAAAAACTAGTAAGCTGCTTGCTCCAGGTTACCAGTGTCGACTTTGTTTGAAGGCATTTTGTCTTGGTCAACATACAAGATTGCTACCATGTGCTCACAAGGTAGAAGTCACATCATTTTAGTTTGTCTTTCCTTGTAGGGCCAGTGTTTATAAATGAATTGACAGTTTAAGTTTCTCCTGCCACTTTTTAGTTATATCATGTGCAGAGATGTTCATATTGAACAGTGTATGGTAGAAGAGCCCTAGCAGAGACCATTGAGAAGGCAGCTCTGTCCCCTGTGGATGGATTTTTGTTGATTAGGACTCATTTCTATATATGCTATCCAGAAAAGATAAATGGCTCTTCAAGTTAGATTATTTTATCTTACTTCAGTTACTTGCAGAAAGAAAAAGCTTATAGAATATTAACCTAACGTGTTTTGTGATTCTTTGGATGAAACAGACGCTTAATTTGACATAGTTTTTATTTCAAATGAATTCACTAGAATTAAAGTCTAATGTTGTTTGATCATTATATATTTGGTAACCAGGTTTTTTTCTGAAATAAAGTTACTGTAAATATTTATAGCTTTAGAGTCACCTTTATTTAAAATGTCTGATAGGTTGTTTTCTTCCCAAGAATGTGATTTATTTTATATCTTTTTATATCTTATATTTTACCATTTTATATCTTACCATTACCAGATCTATTTCCAAGTCTAGTTGGTTATGACTATTTTTATTATTTAATACATGTCATTCATTAGAAAGCAACAGTGAAATTGATGACTTAAGTAGTAAGATTTCATGAGATTACAAAAAAAAAAATCCATAGAAGGATTTCCATTTTAATGTTGAAAATAGACATCAGTCCATAACCAATTCAGTTTTACTCTTCAAAATATTTCCATAAAACTTGATAAATTATAGTTATCTTCCATTTTGCTAGTTTTAATAATAACATAATAATGAAACCTGGAGGAATTTGCATAATGTACATTATAAACAAGACAATTATATCTCTGATTAATTCATAATTTTTTTTTTAGTTTCATAGGAAATGTATTGACAGTTGGTTATTATACAAGTGCAATTCATGCCCTATTGATGGACAAGTTATATATAACCCTTTAATCTGGAAAGATACAGCAGTAAATGGACACACACATCAGTCCATTTCAAACACAAACATCACTCATCTGTCAAAACAGGAAGAACCAGAACTTTTCATTCCTGGTACTGGATTAGTCTTAAAACAAAATAGACTTGAAATTTTACCTAGCATACCTCAACATGATTCTGAAAAGTTGAATACACCTGAAAGTCCAACAGATACCTATCAGAATATAACAATAGATGATCTATTCTCCATCAAGTTAGATGATTCAAACTCAAGAAGATTAATCTATGAATATAAAATTAGCCAACATTTCCCCAAGTATCTTCAAGATTCACTCACTGAACACATTGGAAAAATGTCATCTCAAGCATTTCTTCCTTCCATTACTAACAAGAATATTATATGTCTCACTGCAATGGAAAGCCCATGTATCAGTGAAAAATGGCACACTAGTCAAAGCCAGAAGATGGCCAAGGACTGTAAACATATTAACCACAATCCAAAGAAGACTCTTGGTACTAGAATAAAAGACAAGAAGAGATCAAATACTTCACTACAAGAAGATTTAAATCTTATTGTCAGTTGGGGTACAAGTAAACTTAGTTTGTCTAAAAGATATAGTAATTATATGAGAAAAGTTAGACAAAAATGTAATCTGTCAAGAAGGCCTGTATCTCACCCTTTAAATACAAAAAGTACTGAGCTATCTTTAATATTGGAAGGAGTTCAGTTATGAAAATGCATGTTTTATTAACATCAGAAAATGTTTGAATATTGAACATAAAAATGTTTCATTTGTAGAACATAAACATCGTATACTCTTGACAAATGTGTATAGAATTCTTTGTTGTCATTTTGCCTATTTGTCTGAATGACTAGGTACACTTAAATGACCCCATTCCTTATAAGACTTAAATCATTAGGTGCTTTGATCAATATGTTCAGGATATTAATTATGAATAATTTTTAAAAATTTTATTTCATACTGATTAAAATAACTATTTTTACTTAAATTAAGGAAATAGATTTTCCTTGCATGGAGTCACTGTTTTTAAACATTGAACTTGATACATGTAACATGGAAGGATTCTTTCTAGGTCTTTGTGTATTTTTTGCATTTTAATATTCATACAAACCTATAGGAATATTCACACAAACCTATAAGAAAATACAGATGGTAGTTGTCTCTTTCACTTTATATCCATAAAGGTATTTTTTATACATTAAAGTAAAATAAAATATAGTGCTGTAAGTTATGCCACATTTACAATGGTTTCACTTATTTCAAGAAACTTATAAGTACTACCAAATTTCTTGATACAATCAGTATTAAAGGATCTGTTTTTTTTAAACCAGCCCCATTTCCAAAATAATGAACTATTGTTTCAAAATATTCACTTGAAAAATATAACCCTTAGATTCTTATTTTGCTTATTTTTAAAAAATTTATGGCTCAGTATCTTTTCAAATTTTTGTATTAAAATATTGATATTATTTCATTGACTTTTATTATCTATGACAAGGAAAAAAACCTCACATAATATTTTTGTCACAGTGTTAATGGAATACATAGTTCTATGAAACAGATCTTGAAGACATCAAGCAGAGAAAGTTCTTTCAAATAGCATTTGAATTTAAAGAAATGACTAAATTGAAGTTAATCACAGACAGAAATCACTAAAATGTAGTTCAGAAATAGTAACCGAGAGTTCATTAGACCATGAGCTACATTTTTAAATGAATGGAAAATTTGGTTCATTTTTGATATGCAAATGGAGGACCAAATACATTTGTCAGCAATCACAAATTTTATCAGCCTTTTTTTTTTCCCTTGGTAAGTTAAGGTGAAGCAAACTGCAAAATAACTTTCCAATTAATCAAATATTATTTATGTTCTAATTGATATTCTTTTTAAAAGAATTCTTCCAAAAGGAAAAGGAAAGAAAATGCTTTGGAAAGCAAAGTATATGAAAGAAATACAAAAGAACCATAAGAAATTGGGATGTTAGTAAAGAAAAAAAAAAGATTTATTATTTAGTTTAAAGAAAGATATACTATGGACACTATTCCTATACTAGTCAAACTTATCATGATCATTCTGCAATTATTTGAGTTTTTATTATTGCAGTAGTATACTATACATAAAATACTACACCCATGATTTTGAAAGGAGAGTAGATAACTACTGGAATAAAAATTTCTTAGGTTATGAGCAAGCTTTGCCCTGAAAGAGTTAGGGATATGAATTAGGTGACAAAGCAGAAGAGGATAAATAGTTCTCTGGTTTGTTATTAGACAAAATGAATTTCATAGAAGATGTCTGATTTCTAAGAATAGAGGTAATCCTATTTATGAAGAAGAAGATATGGCCTGAGATCAAGGGTAGCGATGAATGACCTAACAGCCTGGTCAGGGACCTAGAAGAAGAAACATTGAAAGATTGCAAACAAGCAGGCTAGGTGCTGATGGACATATGGGTGAGGGTCCTGCCGAAAGCTCCACCCACTGGGAGAATTTTCTCTTACCACTGCCTTTAAAGGCTACTCCTAGTGAGGCTACAGGGCAGTTGGCCATCCATTTTCAGTTTTCACCTACATATCCAGCCAACCCATCCAGAAGCCAAGACCACATTTTTTTCTCTGTCAGTCAGTCATAGGTTATTAACCAAAGGAGGGACACTGGTCCAACATTAATACTGATGAATGACATGGCAGTCTGGGCTCTCTGCTGATGCAGCTTGCCTTCCGATACTGCTAAAGTTATCTGGATGTACTGCTTCCACATGATGATGGTTTGCTGCTGCACCCAACCAACTTTATGACATGATGGCTCTAATAGACTCCAGCTAATGATGGGCATTTATGGATACATGATCAATCAAGTGGAATACCATGGTCAGGGGCTCCTCCACCAGAGCATGCCATGAATTGTTTTTCAAAAGGCAAATTTTATGGCCTTGCTCCAAAACCTCAGAAACCACATGTGATTCCCCTATACATGGGCTTGCCACAAGCTCCACTGGTCATGTTACTTATCATCAATACTTCTAATATTATAGGGCCTTCCAGGTTGTATGGCCAGAGGAGCATTATTGCTTATACCACAATCTAGACCTGTGGCAGAGCTCTTGTGTGCCCCAAGTGCCACCAAAGCTAGCAACCATTAGTGTCAGCCATATGGGCCACAGCAGTATTCCAGATGTGGGATAATGGAATATACTGCTCCATAACTCAGAGATACCAACCAAGTGTTAAACTTCCTTTTCTGTTGTGGGGAGTGCAAGATGTGATCATTTGTCTTTTATTTTGGAGTGGATATCTGGCATGCCTCTGTCCACAGAAACCCCCAAAATTTTACTAATGAGAAGTCCCTGAATCTCTCTGGAGCCCGATGTGTCTACCAAGGGGCAGGGTCAGATTTCCTGGCTACTAGTTTGAAATTTCCACTTGTTACAATGATTTCATCTACCTGGATTTTGACATTTAAGTGCTACCACTTGGCCTTTATTTAGATCTAGTCACCACCACCACACCACCCCCCGTGATATCCTGAGCCTATTAGTAAGGGCCTTTCCTACTCTCAGCCCTAGGTTATAGAAGAGACCTACCACTGAACTTTTAGTGATTCTGGTGCTCAAAGCAGAACAGTTTATAACTTTGGTTAATGGTATATTTTGCATGCCTTTGATGGTGAGGCTTTTGGCCTTACAAAGTGTATTTACTCCAGCATGCTGGCTTCCATGGGTTTTTAAATCCCTTGGTCTACTGTTTGCTATGGTGTTCTGGTATTTCAACTTAGCATGGGCATTGCTTTTTCCACGTCTCTAGGAGTCATCTCCATAGTGAATAAACCATCACCTGTAGTCCTCACCAAGCTAATTAACCCAATATCCCTAGAAAGTTCCCAAGTTAATAAACTCACCCTGCCCTATCATATATTCTGGTCCCCTTGATTAAGCACTCTCAGATTTCAGACCCACAGATTCTCCTCCAGTACACAATGTCTAGGTCTTCACATATTCTTTAGGATATTAGGCCTTATTAGCACCAGCATATTCCTGAGTTCTTCTGTGACTTAACCTTAATTATATGCCTAGTGGCCATAAAAATGTAAGGTCAGATTCTGGAGGGGGGCAAATGATGTTTTGTGGAGAGAGGACTCTGCATTGCCTTCAAGTAAGAGGGGTGGGCAGGCTAGCTCTTTAAGAGAAAGGGTCCGCTTACTTTAGCATTTTCAGAGAGTTCAGAAGATTCAAGTGGTTCCAAATGTACGGGGTCATCCACCCAAATGTTCTCTTCCCAAATGTTAGGATCCCATTCTTCCCCAACCAGACCCTGATCTTATCATAATTAACCTGCCTTGATTGGGCATTTAATCTTATCTGGAGTTCTACCACTCCATTAACTCCTGATCCTCTGCTTCCCTGCAGGAGAGTGTTTTCGTAAGCTACCAGGAAGGTCTGTTGGCTTTCACACTTGGAGTTTCATTGTGAATATCTTTTTCTAGGGTAGCGGTGGGCTTGACAATAGCCATCCATTCTCATTGTCCTAATAATTAGTTTCCCCAGTACTTCTCAAAGGTCTGATTCTTTATGCAAGGAATATTTTCCTACCCCAGGGGTATACTCTCATACCTCACCAACAAAGAGAATTTTAATAATTGGGCATACACCTTCTGCCCAGGATGTCTGTGTTCCCCTTACCAATGACAGGGTCCTCATTGCAAGCTGGGCTGGAAATGATTCATCTCTCAAATCCCAATATTTCACCTAATTTCTCCTACCCCTCCCATTGCCAGCTGGCAAAGCTTATTTCTTCCAAAAGCAAATGTTTAAATAGAAATCGGTATGCAAGCTGTTCATTAACTATCAACACCTGTGGAAAGGAGGAACATGAGCCTGTCTTTATTTGAAATTTTGATGTTCATCATCTCTCCTTACCCTGGTCCCTTTTCTGGGGAAAGAAAACCAACTTTGTCAGAGGGAGAAGCAGAACTGTAAAGACTTGTTCATACTCCCGCCACAATCAGTCATGGGATATAGGCCATTATCTTGGGTGTGCTCGTGGCCCAGGTAATGCTCTGCAGCTGAGGCAGATGCTAAAAGAAGCAGACAGCTGCAGGCTGTTAGCAGATTGCACGCTCAGGAGCCAAGACAAGTCCTTTTTGGAAGGCCGATCTGGGCAATGCATCTCCAGTTTACTGTAGGAATAGAGAAAATTACTGAATTAAAGAGACGTTTAGAAGGTGATTGATAAGAAAAAGGAGGAAATAGAAGTCTAAACAAACTTTTTTCTGTGGTAGCTATTACTTGTGCTCAGAGATATCTGGTTCCTTTCTGGCCATTTACTATACCTCCTAGCCCCTTTGTTGGTTAGGTTGAGCTCTGTGACTAGTTCAGACTAAGGAAACGTAAGAAAAAGTGAAGGCTGTCACTTCCTGCTAGAGACTGTGAAAAGCTCCTCCACTGTCCAGCCTCTCTTCTGCAGCCACAGTACTTGCAGAACCACAGAAAATTTGTTCTAGGTGGTACAGCAACAAAAGAGTGGAGCGTCCAACAGCTCGAACCCTGAGGTAAGCACTTAAACACAAGTTTGGAGGTCAGAAAAAGTTTGGGGTGAAAATACAAATTTAAGGGGCATAGGCATGCTGATGGAACCTACATGAATAAATATCAGCCAAGGAGTGAATACAGTGTAAATACATGACACTGGACAGAGCTCTGAAGAATGCTAACAT